TAAGTCCTATAGTATCCGTATTTAGTAACGTTTAGCATAAACTTTATCGTCTGGCTGTTGCTTAATCGCCATCGGCTATAAAAGGCTATAAGAAATTGTACAGCCGGCTACAGAAGCTATTGGAAATCTTACAGCCGGCTTTAGGTCTATAGTATTTTGGAACACACATTCTACTGCCAATTTTTACCAGGGAAGGCACGAAAAGTACAATTTTTAAACATGTTATTGGCACGTTCCACTAATGGGATTGATTAAAACCTACTTATCCTTTTCTTTCTCTTGTTTTTGTTGTACTCTGTTTAACAACTAACCCTCAAAAAAGCCTTTCCCTACGATACAATTTCACAGTTGAAAAAGCTTCCAGTGAATGAAGGGAGTAAGTGAGATTACTGAAAAATCAAAATACCTGTAGCGGTGATTTTGAACAAATCTCATCTCAAAATACCATTTTAAATAATTTTTTTTTGCTGCAAGACCCCACTTAACTTTTCAACATTAAAATCGTCTTTCTAAAAATTACAAAAATGTTACTTATACTTACCTCCTTCATTCGCTGGAGCTTCAACCTACCCTTTGGTACACCCAATATTCATTCATAAAATGTGAAGTGTAAGTACGTATCTGTCAGTGCTTTATAGAAAGCACACATAAAGAATGTATTGAGGAATGCGACTTCAAGTATTTTTACATGCGCGTATACCGCTCTTTGAGACTTCAAAAATCAAACTTAAAAAAATCAATTTTTCGCTAAAAACTACGGAAAACGGCCTTCTGGTACGCTGTAATTTTCAAAAACTTTCCGGGGGGGACCCCCGAACCCCCCGCCTTCCTTGGGGGTATTCCATACCCCCCAGACCCCCCGGCGTGGGGGGCGCCAAAATCTGGGTTTGCACCCCCCTACGTGAAACGTAGATCCGGCCCTGCCTCTTGGACCAATGCCGCATTGCATTGACTTAAGAGTGCAGTTTCTTGTCGCCGGATTTAAGAATCTTAAACTCTTGTTTCAAGCGGATTTTGCATTGAAACAAGAGTCCAGACTCTTAAATCCGGCGACAAGAAACTGCATTCTTGAACCAAGAGATTTTTTTTTACCAGTGTTGGGTCTTCAAAGTACGCAAATCTAAGTGAATCTAGTTAGCTTTTTTAGACCTAAATCGGGTTTTTCATGGGTCCGATTTCGAGTTTCCGCCTTGAGGCACATTTCGCCTGATTCCAGCACATTGTGGCTAAAAATTATCGAGCAAGAGTGTAAAATTATCGCATGGCGAATAAATGCCTTACCTCAGGATAAAGGCGGCTTCTCCTGAAGACAGGATTGGTTTTCAAGGTCTCGGTGCTGGCTCTCAAAGCTCCTTTCTTGACGATGAGGCTCCTCAGGCTCCGTTTCTTGAAGGACAGCGCGGAGACGGGCCTGCTAGCGAGGGACACCTCGGCCAAAGACGACTTGCGGTAGTCCTGCAGGTGCTCGATATCCAGCGGGAGACTCACGTGGGTGTCCACGTCGAACTTATCCGCCTCGTCCTCGGTGAAAGTGTCGAAGCTCTCCGTGTCGGACACGCTCTCCACTTGGGGCCTCTGGAGCTCCTCGACTTGGGGGCCGGGCTCCGGCTTCTCCTTCTGTTTCCGGTATTTCCCGAGCGTCTCGTGCATCTTGGCCCGCTCGTCGACCCACCACTTGCGCACGTAGCGCCAGAAGCGGTCCACCTTGGAGCGCACCTCCATCGACGACCGCTTCCGCCGGTAGCGGAGCAGGGACAGGCGCCGCATGTTCGTCTTGACGGTGGCCCGGTGCTGGATGTACTCCTTCAGGTCGATGTCCTCGTAGTTGTGTCCGTCCGCTTTGACGTGGACGTAGTCGGTCGGGGTCTCCGAGCTGTTGGTCGTGCTCGGGGTCCAATCCGGTTCGGGGAGTTCCGGTTTCGGCGCTTTCCCGCTTTCCGCTTCCGGTGTAACTTTGCTGATGGACGAGTAGATAGGGGACGGAGATCTCTTGGGCACTGAATACTCCACGGTGTGTGGGTCTGGGACGGTTCCTGCGGGTTCTTGCTGCTTCTTCTGGACCTTATCGTAGGGGCTGCTGAACGTCGACGAGAACGAGAGGTCGTCGGATTCGTCCGGATCTTTCTCTAGCTTGTCCACTTGGGGAGCCTCGACGACCGGGACGGGAGACTCTGGTTTATCCGTTGAATGGTTGTTGAGCAGCGCCAGGTCTTGTTTGTTCTCCTCGTTGAAGAAGGAAAAACTGATGTTGGAGATTTCTACGGAGATGTTCTCGTCGTTCTTGGACGGGACTTGAGCCTCGGCCTTGGAGACCTTGACCGAGCCACTCGACGATCGACTTCGGCTCCGGCTCTTGCTGGAGTTGGATCGGACGACTCTGTTCTCGGTAGCCTCCTTTCGGTCGAAGGGTGTGACGTCCCTTTCGCGGATGGAGCGGCGTCGCTTCTCGACCAACTCCTCCATGTTCTCCTTCTCGCTCTCCCCCGCGGCTTCCTCCTCCGGCGATGTCCACAAGGACGAGATCACTCGTGGCATCCCCCACCAACTGCTCGAGCCCGCGGGATCTTTGGCCATTCTTTGCCACACCCGCACTCTAGCGGGTTGGCCCCGAACTTTTCACGCCCAGCTTCGTGTCCATGGATCCGTGGGTTTTAGAGGAAGTCATATGGCTATCACAGCTAAACGTCTGAGTGGAGGGGTCACTTTAGTTTGTGATATCATTCCGCGGACAAGAAGGACTGCTTACTCCTGTCCATGAAAAATATTTTGTTTTGGCAAATTCCGAACCTTGAGTTCACCTCGAGTTCAGCAACGGAGAGACTGATTGAGAATAATATTTGTAACAAGTTAAGTAACTGGGTCGTATTTTGAAAGCTAATTTTGATTTATTGCCAAGATTAATAATTTAGAACAGGACCTGTTCTTCTATACACCAGGCCCTAGAAATTAATTAGGCCTGTCGAATTTAAAAAAGAAATGCGGAGGACCATGATAACTTTCATAAAACGAGAGAACTCTGAGCCTCTAACTACGTAGAAGATTGTGCCGTTTTTCCGGATCCAACAGATTTAGCCGTTAGAACACGACTCGTGGATATCTCTAAATAATTTGCCCAGTCCAAATTTGTAATCTGATAAAACAACGAATCACTGCTAGATCAAAATTCAATGTTGTGCATCAACAACCGATGTGTACCCAAATATGTTGAAAAGTGCCGAAAGAGGCTTTTTATCTGCTCTGCCTTGGTCTGTGGCCAAAAATGAATTTGATATCCACATTAGAATACTAAAATATAATCTGCATAATGACCAATTATAATCAGATGGGTCTATCGTGGAATCTCAGTAAGCGACTATACGCACCTAATTTAAAATTAACGATGGCTAAAGTCGAAAAAGGCGTAAATGTATTAACTGCACTGTTTTAATATTTCAGAACGTTATTTATTCTTTCATAAGGTAACTAAATAACATTTCAACCTACAAATTTTACTATCACTGGAAATAAAAGTTGCTTAGATCTCGAGTCCAGACTCTTGAAAACAATGATAGGAGGAAATACTCTTGATTCAATCGGAGTTTTGCTTGAGTCAAAAGGAAATTCGCTTAAATTAAGAGGCTTGGTTCTTGATTCAAGCAAAACTCCGATTGAATCAAGAGTATTTTTTCTTGACGATGTTTTTAAGAGACTGGACTCTAGATCCAAGCTACCTTTTTTCCAGTGATCCTCTCTTACATCGACTAGAATTCTTAAAAATATTCTAAGAAGAAATATTATGCAGTTTCCCTTCAAAAAATAAAATATTTCTGAAGCTTTTTAACGTAGAGGATAGAACTACACACTTTACGACTTAAGCTATCAATAATTCGTCGCTTGGCCTAGTGAGGCATATAGAAAACTACTCCCAAGAGGCAAATAATTCAATTCCTTTTCGACGGCAAGTCGCATTTAAAGTTTTAGTTGCCCCTTCCCCATGTGTGAAACACGCCCAGTGGTAACGAACTGAGAAATGAACTTCCATCACGTCAGACTTCGCAGCTCCCGCGCTTCCTTTTCGAGATGTCACACACTTGGTCGATCCTATCTAGTAGCGTGGCGTGCTTTGCGATATATAGATTGATCTGTCATTTGAACTTATGGAAAAAGATCGACAAACAGGGTGTTCGCAACGAACACCTTAATAATAGATTCTTTACCATAGCTTCAAATGGGGAAATATCGATAATCGATAAATCACGCCACGCCACTGCTCCTATCTTTATTTCCTCGTGAGCCCTGGAGAGCAAGTGGTGTTATGGTATAGGGCTCATACATAATGCAGATACGAACTTACGTCAGTGGCGACTCCTGCAAATTGGCAACACTGTTTTCTCTCCATTTAAATGTATATTAAACAATCGATTCCTTATGAGGCAGCATGTCTCACTTAGAATCGAGATATTCGACGGATTTAAATGAAGTGCTGAAAAATGTTGTCAACCTGCTGGAATCGCCACTGCCTGCCTTACGTTACCTTACGTCAGGGGAGCGACAAATATTGTGCTGCCACTATCAAACGGAGATTAGTTACCTCATATCATAGACAAACTTTCAACACGCTGAAGGTGGAATGATGCATCGAATGGCCCAATTTTCCCGAGAGAATGGTGGAACTTTGCATTTCTTTTTTTCTTCATCGGTGCCTTATCTTTTTTACGGCTCGCTTCTTGAAATCACTCGGTTCTACATTATTGTACAGCACACCGATCAACCCATGCTATTCAACGGGCCGTACAAATATTTATTTCTGTAAAGCCCTGATGGTCTTTTACCAAAAAACCGAATAAATTTATCTCATGGGAAACCCTTGAGACCATTTTCCTCTCAAAACCGAATTATTTCATTTGACAGAAACCTCATACGTATAAGCTTTTCTACGGTAGAACGACTCAAATCTAGAAGCTTCTTTCCCGCCACCACTTTTTAGCCAAAAAGCTTCGGTTTTTTGGTTTTTTTTTCATTTTCTCATTGTCTTCTTATATAAGTCTATTTCTTTTATCTTAAGGGATTAATTTTCTTTTAAGCGTGCCGTCGCTTTTCGAAAGCTGAATACGTCGAGAATGAGCGGAAACTAAGCATCGCACGTTGAGCATCGGGATCTTTGCCGTCATTGCATGCGCGGAGATATGATCCGTTATCAAGCTCGGTGAGGAGCGAACTTTGAGGTTGCGAAAAGCTCGAGTATAACGACCCGATCCGGAGCTGCATAACTGCGAAGCGAGGGAACCGTAATGAACAACTTGCCCGCTGTACTTCCTCAGGTGCCCGTTCATGCTCACGGTGACAAGCTACCTGCCTGGTAGGAGCCTGTAAAATACAGGGTCATCCACAAGTCCTGCGCCACCCCTACGAACCCTGGGGGTTTCTCCCCCTTCTCAGGATTGCCTGGTCTCCTGAAATTTTTGGACGACCCAAAAAGTTGCTTATTTTGACCTGGCAGAACTCATTAAATTTCAAGTCTCCGTCTCGATGTGTTCAAAAGTTGCAGGAGTACTCTGCCTTGCTAAGGAAGAACGCCGCATGAGCCCTCAGGCGTTGCCAAATATCCTTTGATAAAACACGAATTTCCTGGTAAGCATATGAATATTTTTCTTCAGATTTTTCATGTGATTTTCTTTGCAATTTCATCTAAAGTCCCTGAAAATCGCAAAGAAAAACATTCATAACATGCCTCAAGAATAAATGTATTATCGAAGGAAATTTGGCAACTCTCGAATGTTCATACGGCATTCCTCCTTAGCGCGGCAGTCCTGCAGGTCCACGGCTTTTTTATCGTCCTGTATGGCTCGATTCTTGCGCCTCTCGACAAAGGTGCCGATCACTCATTTCAGAGCTTTGGAGAAGTCTGCCGCGTTATGGCAGAGAGCACCCGCTAAGAATAAGGTAACCGAAATTTTGTGTTAATCTGGGAAGTAGAACACAAAATAACCTAAACGCACGGTTGATATTTCTTGGTTACTTTTACCTCCGGTTATTATTGACCAAATATTTAGGTTGAAAATTTGCAACCTTCTTAAAATTCAGTCGAGGAGACAGGATCGAACTTATGGATCGCATTGATGACGGTTCGACAATGTGAGAACCAGAGTGCATTAGTTCAGCGGGACACTTTTTTCTTCCCCAGATTTTTCAGAATTACCTATACGGTTTCGATGGAATCAACCCAAAATTTGGTCAATCAACGAAGTCCTCTCGATTGATCTGATCGAATGATCGAAATAAAAGTAACTCAAAATAACCATTGCCCCTCTATCATGCGAATATTCCTATTTAAGACACACGTTTTCGTTGTAATTTCGTTGTTGAAAATTAACTGTCCTGGTTTAAAATTTGAGGTTTCCACGACCTCAGTGTCCACGGTCGAGGAAACTATAAAAATAAATAAGACAGACACTAATTAATTTGTTTTACAAAAACTAGTTTTGATAACCCTTAATTAAGGTGTTTACTTAATGTTATCCCGACAATCTCGAGCTGTTTCTCGGGACCTACGAGACTATCTCATCTCAAAGTTCCGTAGATGCCCTGCAGGCCGATTAATGCAATCGATAGACAAAGTTATAGACAAAGAAGACATAGGGAGTATGGAGCGATCCTATTGGTTGAAATGGGTGGTTCCTATATACAAAGGGAGAAATGATAGACTAACTGTCGGGTCTCTCGTAGGTTGCCGTTACACGGAGAAAAAAACTTCGTGCGTGGGACCCGAAGTTTAGGTCATATGGATCTCTGAAGTTTTCGGATTGAGTATCAGAACACTTTAGATCCAGCTGCTGAGGTTTGGATCACACATTGAAACTTCAGTTCTTACATCTGAAGTACTTCGGTTTTCTCACCCGAAAAACTTCGGTTCTCACATCTGAAGTACCTCAGATGTAAGAACTGAAGTTTCAAATGTGCGATCCGAACCTCTACAGATAGACCTAAAGTGTTCAGATGCTCAATCCGAAAACTTCAGAGATCCATATGACCTAAACTTCGGGTCCCACGCACGAGGTTTTTTTCTCCGTGTAGTTAGTCTCTCCTTTGTCCATCGCAACCACCCGCTTCCACCAATAGGATCTCCCCATATCTCTTTTGTCTCCTTTGTCTATAGCTTGGTATATCAATTTCAATAATCGCCCGCAGGTATATGTCAGCGCTGGCCTCTGGAAGTTGGACGCTCCCTCAAATTCGCGTAATCTCAGTTCCCGAAAGACATGAGCCTCTCGCTCTTGGGAGAAACCACGACTCCATGGTTAGGAATTTGCCAAAGCACGGTTCACATCCAATCACGATCATATTTTACCAGTTCAGAGGAAAAATCCGGCGATGGAGCTCCACAAGAGCGTCCTACCAACACTGTCGCACTACACGCTCCTCGACGGCCTTGGTGGACGCACTCCCACGGCGCCTGCCACAATCCGAATGCAACCCTCTCGGCACTGGGATCAAAGCCCGAGAACCATGTCACGGCGCCTGCCACAATCCGAATGCAACCCTCTCGGCACGTGGGATCACAGCCCGAGAACCACGGCCGAAAACACGCACAAGTGGATCATGCCACTTTCGGCGCACGTTCGCACCCGACGCGGCACACCCGCAAACATGTGGCGAACCGTCTTCGGACAAACTTCGCGTCTTCGCGTCGACGAAACAACGGTGCCCTCAGGATCACGAGGCCGGAGCACGGGGGTTGAACTTTCGGGGTTCGTCCTGATCGGCGATCGGCGCAGCGGCGAAAGCACTGAAAGCTCGCGCGAAGACACGATGTGACGCGGACGACCGTGACGAAGAAGTCGCCCGGGACTGAGAGTCGGGGGAAGAACACGGCTGCTTTCTGAGATGTTATGAAGAAGGAGCTAAAAATAGACGCGCCGCTCGCGAGGAGCGTATCACACACGCAAGCGGTGTTGTCGGCCGGCGCCCCCCTCCCCCGTCAGGGTTGCCATAGAATTTAGAAAAAAAAATTCCCTGATATTTCCCTGACACATTTCAAGGTAGATTTACACAGGTATGGACAAGTTGAAAATTTCCCATGAGCCCCAGTACGTGTCACATGACTACGTGACGTAGGTTAAGGGGCCCGTTTTTTAATTTAATTACAATCAAATTAACATTCAAACGTGTGTGCGTTTAAACGATAAAATTAATATCGCATTATCAAAATTGTGCAAAAAAATCCCACAAAATTTTGACAAACGATAAACCGAACATAATAAATCAAAATAATCAAAAAATTCAAAATGGCTGACGTTAAGGGGCCGCTGGAGAGCCAATCAGAGGCCAGTTGTTAAGTTCTGTCCATACCTGTGTAAATCTACCTTGGACACATTTTGGCGAAATTCCCTGACAATTGAAGATGTGACATATCGACGGTGTAAGTCGGCAATCACATAACTCGGTTTGCGACGTCGCAGACTTCCTGTCATACTTCATTTTTTAAACGGAAAACTACTCAACGGTAATTCTTTAAAACTGCCGTGATTTTTCTTCTCTGTGCGAAGAAAATTCTGCAAAAACTTCAAAGAATGATGTCAATTTGTTCTCCTTTAAAAAATAACATAGAGGCGGAGATTTTCAGACACCGCAAACGAAGTATGTGATTGCCGACTTACACCGTCGATATGGTTAAGAAGGCATAATTGAAAATAGTTTTCCGGCAAAATTTGTTGTTCGAAACCTCAAACCCATTCTAGAAACCAAATGAAGGTGATTCAACAAATTTTCCCTGACATTTCCCTGGCTTTTTAAAATTCCCTGACATTTCCCGGTTTTCCCTGACTGTACCAACCCTGCCCAGTGGTCAGATTGTGTGAAAAACCCAATTGCATTTGGTTAAATAAGGAAATGTGCTGAATTTTCAGCACAATCTGGCAACCATGCACAACCTTTCTTCCCGTTTGTTTAATCGCCCTCTGGGCTTTAATAAGTTTTTTATTAGTTTTAAATGGCTTGACGACGCGAGAGTCCGAAGTTCATCTATAATTATAATATGCGATGAAGTTTCGGGTATGCGCGATCGGTTCATCCGCGGCCGATGGTAGGACAAGATTTTCCCTCCAAAATTCCTTTTTATTTTGAGGAAAATCCGAAATTTCTGTGAATCCTTTTACTTTTCAGATTTCATTTTTTGTCACACCAGCAATTGAATGCACCAGGCAAGTTTCCATGTTGTTATTGTTTATTTTTTTATTTGTTCGTAATCGGCGGGTAATCACATCGACACGAGCATACAAATTTTAAGTTCAGAACCCTCACAAAAGCTAAGATTGCAAGCGGAGGAAGATCCTGAGTCCAAGGGAGGCGGAAGGGGAGGGCGGATGGAGCTGTGTAAATATCTGAAATTATGCAAGAGCAATTTTGAGCTTTTCTTATCGAAAACATGTCAAATCAAGTCGTATTCGGACTGAACGTGGGAATCATCGTGAAACTGCAGCGAAGTCAAAGCTAAGATTGCAAGCGGAGGAACCTAGAGTACCTTTATAGACAGAGTATGGCCATTTCTGTTCCGGTTTTTCATTGGTCGCGTGAAAATAGGCTGACACGATGTTCTTAGGGCCGTACATAAACAAACAAGATGGCTGTTATCAGCAAGCAAGATTGAGGTTATGCACATCTTACATCCTCCTGTGATAAAGGTGAAAGGCGATTTAACAATGTTTTCATGTATTTTTCGTGTGCTATTCGTAGATATGCTAGTTTAAATTGTTACTGCCGCATAATTGAGATTTTTGTGAAATTTAGAATCTTATCGATGTTAAGGTGAGCCGCCATTTTGTTTGTTTATTTACGGCCATGAGAGCATCATGAAGCCTAAAAACTCGTTGACCAATCAAAAAGCAGAACAGTTTTCCTGTAGTAAAAAGATACGAATGGCCATACTCTGTCTATAAAGGTACTCTAGAGGAACCTCCTGAGTCCAAGGGAGGGGAGGGGGTGGAGGGGGCGGAAGGGGGTGTGTAAATAACTGAAATCATGCAGGAGCAATTTTGAGCTTTTCTTATCAAAAACATTTCAAATTAAGTCGTTTTCGGACTGGACGTAGGGATCATCGTGAAGTTGATTCGCTGGTGGAGAAAAGTTCAAAAGTTGAGTTTTTGGCAACGACGAAGGCGGGTGACGTACTCTGGAAACGGGAGCCGGAGCGGAGCCGGGATGCTGGATGCGGACCAGAGGGAGAGAGACGGACGCCGCACAATGGATCAAGTCGATAGGAGAGCTCGGACAAAATTTGAAAACTTTAAACGCTTGAAACTCCGTTTACATAAAACTTTGAAGTTCTAAAAGTGGAACCATTTGTTTCCTCGTGAAATTCTCTTCAATAACCACCTCTTGAAGTTTAAAATGTGACGAATTAAATATACAAATTTGCAGTTGTAGCAAAAATTTTATGTGCGACCTGTCTGATTGATTCGATCCACTAAGAGTGGGTACCTTCATAGCGAGAGTATGGGCAGCTCGAAAATTTGGAGGTTGGGTTTGATCGGATCATGTGGCTCTTGGGGCCCAAAAAGGCAGCCAAGCCATGAACTCGAATTGTCTAGTGCGGTATTAATTCAAACTCCGAGAGTAGGTGCACTGATCAAAAATTATAAAAGCACGCACTGGAAAAAAAACACACATTGGATCTACGTGGCCGGATTAAGGGGTTGGCCACATGGGCCGCGGCCCATGGCGGCAAAATGTAGGGGGCGGCAAATTTTGCAATCTTTTTGAAAGTAGGTATCAAAAAAAAAAGAAAAAATCGGATTCAGAAAATAAATTACAAGCGAGAAAATGCGACAATATCTCTCATTTCCTGAGAGTAAAAGTATATTAAACATCTAATGCTGTCTTGTTTCGATGATACCAAAGACAACACCTTTAATTAGTCGAGTTAAGAAAGAAACCAAACACGCAATTCGACCTTGAGCGGAGCGGCGCAGAGAGCATGATGACGAGGACTGATTGTGAGATGAAAAGGACAAGCCTTCGGCGCGGCGGTCGGCATGAAACGCATAGCGCCTACAAGACTGTATGGATACTTCACGCATTGCGTCAAACACACTGCGGTCGACAGCAGTCGTTCGGCGTGAAACGCATAGCGCCTACAAGACTTCATGAATACTTCACGCATTGCGCCAAACACAGGGCAGGCGGCGTGGCGCAGCGGCAGGAGTTAATATTATTTTTAAACCACATTTTATGTTTGTTCTTTCATAATTTTTTCGTTCGTTTGTTATGAATGGAAGGCCTTGTCCAAACAGATGTAGGTTTACGGAACTTAACTTTCGTTAGTGCTGACAGGGCTTTCACAAAAAATGTGCCCAACACGAGTGAACACGTCATACACCCCTCTTCTACCGGCACGTTCACTTAACGAATTAGAAGGGGGCGGAAAATTACAAGCGGCCCATGGGCGGCAAGTAGGTAAATTCGGCCTTGTGGATCTAGAGTCCAGACTCTTGAAAACATTGACATGAAAAAATACTCTTGATTCAATCGGATTTTTGCTTGAATCAAAACGAAATACGCTTAAATTAAGAGGCTCGGTTTTTGATTTAAGCTAGATTCTGATTGAATCAAGAGTACTTTTTCTTGTCTATGTTTTTAAGAGTCCGGACTCTAGATCCAATGTGTTTTTTTCCAGTGCGTATAAAACTTTGATTTTGAATACATTTTCTAAATTTCTAAGTCCTTAAAAACGCTTGTTTACAATGCGTTGTCGGCCCTACTGATAAATCTTTCAAATGCGTAGGCTGGCAGCGGCACAATTCTAGTGATTTTCGTTTTTCATGTTGTCGCTCGCGCCTTTTTGGGCCCTGAGAGCTACATAGATCGAGTTGTGCATACTCTCCCTAGAGAGGTGCTCTAGATTCACTGTGCGCCGGGAACTGGAAGGAGGAGAGAGGCGGCATAGGGCTGTTTGGCAGGAAGAATAAGTTCAATTAAAGCCATCCGCACGCTCACGCTCTTCCTCTTTCTCGTTCATCTCTCCGCGTTTTTCATCCGTTTTATTTCGATCGCGCTCAAGTTCGCGGATCGCCGCGCCGCGCGGAGCATCGAACCCGCGCGCCGCGACGCGACGCAACGACGCGCCGCTCGCTCCTACTACTGCATGCAGTCGAGCCCGCCAGCAACGGTACCTATTCCTATTATGTCATGCCTCCAAGCTCCAGCCGCCGCGCGCCGAGCGCCGGACGCACGAACCATCGATGAAACAACGTATCGCACAGTGCCAGAAGAATATAAGTGCTATTCACCTTCCGCTTTAAGAAATTTGATCAAGAAATTGAGGGGTGCATTTTCCCACCAAAAAAAAAGATTGGTACACAGAAAAAAAAACTTCGGCCGCGGGAACCGCAATTACGGGCTATATAGAATAGACATACCGTCCGTTCCGGGCTCAAAGGTCGAA